TATAACATTAAATTTATATACAGTAGTACAGTGAGGTATGATTTTACAATACTGTACGGTGCTCCTGTTCAGTTTGCCCAGTCTGTAACTGTATGCCTGCTTATTGTGAAATACATCTACAACTATGCTAATTTCAGCAATAATTGTTTTAGCAAGGCTATTACGTCTGTGTTTTCCCTCTGGCAGGGATGTGCAACCTAAGACTTATGGATTATAAATAGCCCCAGAGCACAGAGACTTGACTGCTGAAATGCAAAATATCCAATTTTAAAGTGTTTCCTAAAGCTAAAGTGGAATAAGGTTTGAAATAAAGGTTCCCTATTCCATTTTTTTACTTTAAACCCTTAAAATTGGCCCAAATTAAGTACGTAATATTGAAATCTAAATTGTAATATTGATAAAAAATTCCTTTCTCAATTATTATTAAAAGCTATCTAAATAATAGATTATTAACTTTAAACAACATAATGTACTAAGACAGTGGTGGCGAATCTATGGCACGGGTGATAGAGGCGGCACTCGGAGCCCTCTCTGTGGGCACACGTGCCATTGCCCCAGCCTTGCCTCGCCCCGCGACCCTCTCCTCACCAGCAGCCCCCCTGGAGGAGAGTCACCCCCGAGTGTAGCCCACACGGAGCAGTGCAGCCAAGGACATGGCAGCCAGGCAGCGTAGACAAGACTCTGCCCTCATGCCCCATCCCACACAGTTGCTGCTGCGGGGCGCGGGCAGAGGGCATGGCCATGGCGCTGCTGGGCTGCCTGGACGATCTGCAGTGGGCCCTGGAGGCGGTGAGTAGCCCTGCAGGCAGGTGGGGTGGGGGACGGGGCAGGGGCGGGGCCAGTTTTGGGGCACTCGGTCTCTAAAAGGTTCACCATCACTGTACTAAGATTTATAACAACATAATAAATGGGGGGGGGGGAGAAATATTTCTACCTCTTCCAGTAATATTATTGTGTCACCCAATGACCTGCCAGAGCCCTCCAAAAGTATGAGAATCTGAGCTACCTATCCCTGATTTCATGGTCACATATTCCATTAAAGCATGTATTGTTTAGTTAGGGTTTGTTGAACAAGAATGAAGAAGTGGATTCCTTTCACAGGATAAGTCAAACCTAACAAGGCGCAATATGGTTTAGCACACTGTGAGAATTCAGCCAATGCTGTATACAAATATAATTCTAATCACGCTTGGTAGTTCCTACCTTACCTCCCTCTATTGCTGTTGAAGCTACAAGAATGCTTCCACAGCTGGCTGACCTTTAGATATGATTAACTTCTATTTAGATGCAGTTTAGCTTTGATAAGATTAAAAGCTAATTAATGAGATACGTTTGGTGGAGAGGTTAAGACACCAGGCTAGAAAACTGGGAGACAATGACTTCTAGTCTTGCCTTCGGCACAAAGCCAGCTGGGCAAACGCGAGCCAGCCCCTCTCTCTTTCAGGCCTAACAAGGCGGCCGTGACAAACCCTTTTGAAAATCCTGGCCAAGAAAATTTCAGGGACTTATTTAGGCAGCTTCTTAGAATCGGATATGATTGAATGGGGAGAAAAAGAAAAAGAAAAACATGGAAATGTTTAACTCAATATTATGATGCTTGTAAACTTTTACTTTATTCACTATGATTCATTTTTTGGATTTTTTCTCTTTGTCATCTTTTAAAAGAACTTAGTATTTTAAAAAAAATGCATTTCATTTAACTTCATTGCCAATTGAGCTGTTTTCCTTCAAGTGTAATCATGCAGATTTCAGTTCCTTTTAAGTTCAAAAGAAGTAAATTGGATTCATTAAAAAAAACACTGATCTAAATCTAAACCCTTTTTTTTTTTGCTATGCTGAAAAGAGTAGCCAAGAGGCAGGGATGGGGAAGATAAAAGATGCCATCATAATTATTATTAGAAGACAAAGGATGTCCTTATAATATTAAACCTGGATTCACACAAACATGTTGAATGAGGATGCATGGCTTTTCACACTGTTTAAACCTAATCAATATAGTTTATAACAGAGGAAGGTTATGATCATCTTACGACTTACTATTATCTTTTTTCTTCCTGCTTTTTCAAGCAACAAGGTATCTCTCTAGGATGTTTTATTTCCTATTTGGGGGATTTAGGTAGTTTAAAGAGGCAAAATGGTTATCTTAAGTCTTTAAGAACCTTAAAGCATCTATCTTGCCTCCTAACCCTTCCCCACTTGACAGAATCAGTGCAACTATACGTAAGTATATGAAAGGGCACTAGGAATGCTTTAAGCCTTTGCAGGACATGAGGCAATGCTAAAACCAAAGTACCTATTACCTAATACATAAACCCTGGCATAGCGCATTGAGGGAATACAGCCTTTGGTTTAACACTGCTTCTGAATAAGGTTATTAATTCAGAAGAATGAGACATGCTTTTGTTTCATGTGTCATATAACATACCTGATATTCCTGAGGCAACTGCTGAGAGAACTTCTGTAAATTGCACACTGCTACTGCTCTTTGGTCCTGCCTGCATGTTAATTGTAATGGATTACTTCTCAGAGTGTCACAATATGGGGCTACTGGTTCTTTTCTTAAGATTAAAAACAGAACAGCAGTTAACATGTTATATATATATATATATATATGCATGCTTCGGTGTGTTAATAAACACTACTTATTATTCACAATAGTTAATGTGTGAGGACAATTTCAGAGCCATCACTGAACATGCAGCGCACATGTATTATTCTTACTTTCTCCGTTGCTGATTGATCCAAAACTTGCAGCTTTTCATCACAAAGTCGCAGCCTTTTCCTCGGCCCCATTCTAGTTTTTCTGCCATACTATAATTGGCTTGATACCAGCTGCAAAAATAGCAAGTGGAAATGGAAATGGTTCTTTAGAGTCCAACTTTCTGAACTATTAACAACAAAGAATCAAAGAGTGAATAATCTTAGGGATTATTAGGTTGTAAAGACTCCTGGCCCTCCTTCCCAATGCTTAAGCTTATTCAGTAATATATACTCTAATAAACAAATGACAAACATTAATTTGTCTGGTTTTTTGAGCTATAAACCAGGAGTCGCCAACCCCTGGTCTGTGGCTGGGTGCCGGGCTGCAGCCCGTTCAGAACAGGCCGGGGAATTGATGGGTGAGCGTGTGTGTGCATGAAGTTGCATGGTCTGCTGAGCTGGAAAGGTTGCTGCTATAAACCATTGGGAATGTGTTGTAACAGACAGCACAAAATCCACCCTAAACACCGTTTAACTCTATCTGACTCGGCATCTATCCACCAGCCGCTGCTATTCTCCTCCATGTCTTTTTATGCATTTCCAACAGTGCAGGGAAATCCATGGCCTGTTAGGAAGTATCTTCTACTGCCCACTTCTGCTATCTTCTACTTACTAGGGCTCTGCAACACTTCGGAAGTAATTTAGAAAGCACTACGCCAGTGGTTCTCAACCTTTTTAATGCCGCGACCCCCAACCGGTCGTAAGTCGAGGACTAAACCGGTCGTAAGTCGAGGACTACCCAACCGGTCGTAAGTCGAGGACTTTCCCTGCCCGGGAGCGCCGTGCATGCGTGGTTCCGCCCCCTGCGCCAGCCGAGGCGTAGCTGCAAGCAGCAGAGACGGAGCAGGCCGACCACCAGCTGGCCCAGCTCAAGGGAGGTAAGGCACCCGCCAGAAAAGGGGGAAAAAATGGCGGACAGCCTTGCTTGGCGACCCCCGTGAAATGGTCGATCGACCCCAAATGGGGTCACGACCCATAGGTTGAGAACCGCTGCACTACGCTATTGTTTAAGTAATATTGTATAACTACAATGTATCTTTTTTACCCAGTGTCTTCCATTAATGCCAGAGTAATCCGGGAGAAGACCCTGTTCTGTGTTTGTGATCCAGTCATTGCTTCATTCTGGAATTAACCAACATCAATAATAGTTAGCCGCAGTAAAGCAAACAGAGAAATAGCCTGCATTTTGCAGGAAGCAAACTATTTTTTGCCAACAGTGAAACATATTTCATTACTTTAACAATCACAGTGAAATTAGGAGTTGCTCTTGGGATGTCAGGAAGCTATCTGTAAATTACATTCATAATTATTTTCTTATAATAAGAAATAGAACAATAGACTATAGAAGAATGGAGAATCTAAATTTACTGTAATTGCTACCATGAATGCTTCTTATAATTATAAAATATAAATGAACTTTCATTCCTGGTGTGGTATCTTGAGAAAGATATCTGCATCTTTCCTTCACATACTAAACAATCAATTTTGTATTATTTACAGTCTAATATAGAACTCTTCTCTACAACCTTCAAAATAAAGAAATTAAATAAGTTCAGGTATGTAGGAAAAGAGTACAATATATTCTCTGGTGGCTTTTAGTTTTTAGCTAATGATTTCTCCCTGTATTCACTTTGGCTGTATTGATCAATAAAAAAATCATTCTAAACATCCTTGAGTTTCTCTATTACTACTTGCTAAAGACAAAACCAGTTGAGATTCCACAGGCTAAATTTCGTATTGGAACAATCCTATGTATATCTATATATTAATTGATTACTAACCTCTAATAACCGTTTCTCCCAGTGATTAAGCTCTGTACCTATGCCACCTTGATTTTCCAGTTCCATTCCTTCTAAATTTGGACAGTCAAAGTGTTTTCTTGCTTCCCTCTTTAGAAAGGTGTTAGACAAATCTCAATATTATTTATTTCAAAATAACACCTACTTCATTTTACACATAAAGTTTACATGATATATAAAATGTTACTTTATCCAGCAAAGATTTTTAATGAGAGAACCCTAAGATGCTGTCATACTTCAGTGAAGTCAAGAACTTTCATTTAAAATTAATAGCACATGGAAACCAGCAAAAGGGTATGTACTTCTGTGACAGATCATGCAACCTCAACCCCTGCAGTACATTATTATGGAACACTAGCAATGATTCAATTTTTTTAAATCATTACATATTACAGAGAATGGGAAAAAACACAAATATTTTAATAATTTAAACACAATTGGAGCCTTCAAGAATTCCCCATAAAGTGGAAAAAGAAGCAATAGTGTGGTACCCAGCATTGGAAGTAGAAGAATTTTCCCAGAACCATTTTCAGACATAACAGTGTGTGGCAATTTAGATATTACTGAATTTAACTCCCAGGAGCCCCAGGCAGCAGAGTACGATAAGGGATAGTAGTTGAACGAAATTAGCAATACCTAAAAGACTGATAAATTTGCTTGTTCTGCTTTAGAAAATTGAGGGGGGCAGAATATTGAGGCATTAATGTTGTTTCACATCCTGTGGCAGTATTTGAAGGGCATTGGAGTTTGGAGAATATGCAACTATAGGTATATTTCCTGGTTTATCTTCTCTTGTCAGTCAGAGGACCCACTAACTTCACAGGAATTGGTCTGCAAGCTAAACTGATTTGGGGAGTAAACTGACAATATGAGGAAACATTTTTGTCAGAGATTGAGTAGCAGGGCTGAATCTTAACATGTTGAACATGGCTCCCACCATTATTTGCCACTAAGGGTCTAAACAACCAGATCAGATTTTTGTGAAAGAAAATAAAAATAATACTTACAACTACCTTAGGAGTTACCAAAAGGAATACATTATGAGGCAAAATGTTATTATCCCGCACATCCCATAATCTTACTGCTTTACGTATAACTTTATCACTCCACTGATACACACCAAGGCTGAAAGGAAGACAATTCAGTTGTTACAACTGGGAACCAGGATCAGTTCTTAATATAATCAATAAGCTGAGTCTCAACTATTGAATATATAAGTAAAGTAGCTATTGTATCTTCAAGACAACTGACTTCCAATGCAATTACCACTGAAAACTAGGAAGTAATTATGCTGTTTGCATAAGAACTATTTTAATCATACCCACAAGTACTATTCAGTGAAATCAGTTTTGTAAAAATTGCAAAGATCAGTATATACCTTTCATTAAATAGTGGCAATCCATTTGCATATCTAGGAGTCAAAGGATTTCCATCATCATCACGATAAAATGCAAAAAGTCCAGCGGAGAAACCCTTAAATAGAACCCCAAAAGTAGTTTACGTTATGTTTATTTAACCCACCACAATTGATAGAAAATTGCTAGGAAAAGAGGAAGAAAGATACAACTCCACATCAAGGTAGCCCTCAATTGGAATCGCTAATAGCATCACTAACAACATGACTATTAAACAAGACATCACATGACTGCACTAAATTTAAAATCCAATTTTTGGCACTGTCATTAAATGAATCATCGGTAGTCATTAAATGAGAACTTCACATGACTGCAATTTGCAACTTTGCTGACAGCTTCTTTATTGCCTCTGTTGGTTGGAAGCTGGCTTTGAAGCATGAAAATAGCGATTGCATGACTTATAACACTGCAGCAGTCATAAGTGTGAGGATCAGTCATAAATTTATGTTTTCAGCATTGTTGTAACTTTGAATAGTCACTAAACAGGGTAGTCATTAATTAAGGATTACCTGTATATGAAATATTCACAAAAACATAACCATCGCATAAATTCTAGCATAGTACAGCATGAAGATAATATGACTAATTCCAAAGCAAGTATTAGGGCAATGCCTTATTTAGCCAATCTCAAAGATAAGACATTGAAAAAAACAGTGAATGAGAAAAGGTATAAAGACAAGTTAGGGAATTGGAGAGGACCAAAAATACTAACAATATTGAAGCTTAAATGTTTATAAACAGTCTTGATTTGCATCCCTTTCCTCTGGTGAACTACTACCATCTTTTCTTCTTCCTCATCTTTTAATATTGTGCCTGCTATAGAGATCTAAAGATTGTGATCTTGAATATTTTATAGGTTTTTTGAGCCCTAGTACAAATGCTTATAATTTTTTTTAGAAATTTTTCTTTGTAGGATTTTAAAAAAACATAGCATCAAATTCCAGCTCTTACCAAAGCATGAATGATTTCATGTTTCACTGTAGACAACATGCCAATAAACTCCTGTGGTTGAGTTGAAATCATGTTTGGACACAGATTAGCATATCCTGCAATTGGTCTGGAAAAATGGTGATACGTTATACCAAATGAGGAAATTAAAAATGTTAAGCTTCATTATTACATGTAAATTCTTTGTATTATCATAGCCTACAAATGTCTAATGAGAAGGAAGGACTCACTGGAGAAGAGCCTAATGCTGGGAAAGATTGAGGGCAATAGAAGAAGGGGATGACAGAGAATGAGGTGGCTGGATGGAGTCACTGAAGCAGTAGGCGTGAACTTAAATGGACTCCAGAAGATGGTAGAGGACAGGAAGGCCTGGAGGAACGTTGTCCATGGGGTCACGATGGGTCGGACATGACTTCGCAATTAACAACAACAAATGTCTTATATACAAAAATGTCCCTGTACTAACCTTTTCTCGTGCAAACATTAAATCTGTCGGATGTAAACTCAGAAAAGGGAAAAATGTTCTCTCTTATGCATGGACAACTAGAGTACCTGTATAGATTTATCTATGGACTTTCCTATCAAATATCCATTTTTTCCCTTAAGCTCACTTGAGATACTCACTTTTTACCGTGCTGAGAAAAAACTCAATACTAGTCATATAACCAGCGACACAGGCCATACAGAATATTTAGGATTTTCTCAGCTAGGGACACAGCCTATGGTCCTGAGATGACAACTCTTAGGTAAAACATTTCTCTCTCCAGACTCCAGATCTTTAATAATTAATGTGTTAATATCATGTATTTCCTCAAGAAGCTTTAAATAGTTTTCACACATTCGTTTCTGATTTATTTTTCCCATAGCAACTCAATGAAGATAGAGGGGAAGTCCAAGCATAAGACCACAATTCTATCACTGGGCCTCAAACGTTTTGGTCTGGGGGAGTCTTTAAATATTGACATGATATAGTTACTTTTGTAACAGAGTTACCATAAGTAAATTGAGTTTGTGGGATATATAGTGCTACCAGAATACAGCCTCACCTTGCAGGATACTCCTTATCACTTTTGTCTTTTCTAGGCAGATAAGCATATTTCTAAACAAAGACTGTGTTGCAGCCAACTATTATGTATACAGGGCCAGCAGATTCTGAGGAATAAAAATTGGTCTACCTTTTTGTTAAAATGTTTGTTTTTTTTGTTAAAAAAACACACCTTGGGGTAGGAAGCATGAAAGATAGGAAGCATGGGAGACTCTGCAGGCCAACTCCCCTTCCCCCTCCCCCGGGGCACCACAAGGGGAATCTCTGTGGCATTAAACTATAAAATGTGGCTTCCTATGTAAGCCGTTTAGATATCATTCTCCTATTATTCTAACATGGGAAAAACTCAGCCAGCAGGACTCACTTGGAATCCTGTTTCCTGCTGTTCTCTTCACTGAAGTTCTGTGTGACCTTTCCTGCAGTGTAATCACAGAACAATGCATTATCAACTGAAGATCAGCAGGGAAGAAGTGAGTGTGGTAGAGTATTTTATGTCTTTCTGACTCTTTGGCTACATCGCCCACCCTTCCCTCTCTCACTGCTTAAAACAGAATGCATGCAGATAAATCTTCACTGGAAATACTTGAGGTCTGTAGCTCCCCACAGTCCACCTCCTGAGCCAAACTTTCTGAGATTAGGAAACAATGACTTTAGAAAAAAGAGCCAGTTGTGAAAACTAGTTGTGACACCTAATGACAGATCACTCACTATACTTGCCCTTGGAGAAATCTGATCAAACCCTGGCCTGGATGGCAAATAAGTATTTTCAGAACATTTCATCAAATTAGTTAAAGTTAGCTTGGAGATTACCTGTCCATATCTGCTTCTAGCTGACAATATGCCGCATATGCGATGATGTTTTCTTGGCCACATCTTTCAGTAGTCAGAGCACTAACATACAGTATAAAATCAGCATCTCGAAAGCCGTCCTGGTCTGCTTTGCCAACAGTTTGACAATTCCGTCCATTTGTATTACATACCCTACATTGCTAAGACATTACATTTCAAGAAATCAGGGTCAAATAGTCTTCAAATGTTTCTTTATTTAAATTATATTCTGCCTTTATTATTTTTATAAATAACCCAAGGCGAGGAACATACCTTCCTGTTCCTATTTTCCCCACCCTGTCAGATGGGTTGGGCGGAGAGCAAGAGAGTCTGGCACAAAGTCACCCAGCCTAAGGTGGGACTAGAACTCATGGTCTGCTGGCTTCTAACCCCATGGTTTCACCACTAAACCAAATTGGTTTCTTTTTTTTAACTCTAAAATGTACGCATTTCCTACTTTTCTTTCTTAGGCTGAAGAAACATTTGAATTAAGATTCCATACTAATTATTTTTAAGGTTTTATACCACTGCTTGTGGCAAAGAAAAAGAGTTTGATAGCTTTCAAAATATTCTAGAGAGCAACATTTCCAAATTCTAAAAGAGCTTTGAAATTTTTCATTTTTCATTTTTCATTTCATTTTATTAAATTTATACCCCGCCCTTCTCCCGTAGGACTCAGGGCGGCTTACAGCCAGTTTAAAACAATTTAATACAATACAATAGAAGTTTTAAAAAATCATTAAAAATAAATATATAATCGGCTGCTTCTACTAAAATTTGGCTAAAACCAATTTAAAATACCCCTAGGCCAGTCCTGCCCGCTGGAACAACCAGGTCTTAAGGGCGCGGCGGAAGGAGGGGAGATCCGGAATAACCCGGATCTCTGGGGGCAGCTCGTTCCAGAGGGTGGGTGCTCCGACAGAGAAGGCCCTTGCCCTGGGGGTCGCCAGCCGACACTGTCT